AAAAGATAACTTTGTTACAATCACTTATTCTGTCACAGAAAGTTTAAAATGCCCCTTAAACATACTTTGTCTGCTCAGCCTCACTATTGGGTTAGCAATGTCCATAATACCATGATTGAATCAGTAAATGAAACAGAAATCTACCACTCTGACAACTGTCAAATCTTTGGAGACAATATGCAGTGCTGAAATTAATACGCTTATTTGTTGCTATTTATCCAAATTAAAATCTGTGGTTATAATGGCTCTAATTTAAACTTTACAAAAAGAGAAACTTTTATTACTCCACTATCCATAGGAATTAACTTTATTTGGTATAAATTGAAAGCTTGTTTTACGCCAGAAAATGTGTTTTTTTTTTGTTGTGCCCAATGTACAGTTATTTAAATTTTTTAAGGTTCCTCTGGACTGGTACAAATATCTGGGATATACAGCATTAGAACTTCTGGCCTGCTACTCACAGAGCCCATCTCCCCAACAAGACTTTATCACTAAATCAGCCACTAATTTTTATGTCTTATTGGGCATGGTTGCCCAGAAATCAGCCTCTGCCTCAGAATTGGGTAAAAGAACCACAATCGAGCAAGTTTATGAGCTCTACCTTCTTGCCTGTGCCATACAGAGCCTTGACAGCACCAACTCAAAAAGAGATAGCCTGAAGCTGGCCAAAGATTACATGTGTAGTTACACTCAGCTCTCTGCCAAAGCAAATAAAAAAGATATACCTGGAAAGATTTCAGCGGATACCGGGGCACTATCTAACCTGTTTGAGTTGGCTGTCAAAACGTTCACCCTGCAGTCCAGAAATGTAACAGATGAAAGCAGCTTGTCCTATTTTGTAGAACTATTTAGGTATGAGACTCTAGCATTATTTGTTTGCTGCTTGCTTAAATCATTCATTATTAAGCCTTTAGTATTTAAAAAAATTGCATCATTTGATCCTGTGCATCACAGAGATAAGAGAAAATAACCCAAGTATTTATTTAGTTGGACATGGGAAAGGGACAAAGTGTTTTAAAATAGTGGTCCCATCAAGCAACTGTTTGAATAGGCTTTCCTTTTGAATGGTTGCCTAGAGTTGGTAGTACAGACTAAGCTAATAAGTCCGGCACATTTTTTTAACAGTCACTCACTAAGTTTGTGTAATGTGACATAGAAAAAAAAGTTGCCTGATTTTAAGATAATATTATGTTTATTTTCAAATTTATGTTCCTAATAAAAAAAAATTCTCTTAATTAAGGATCAATTTCCATTACATGTTTTGTTTTTTTTTTAATAAAAAATCTTTTCACAGATTAGTAAATAAAGACCGAGCCCTTTGTGAACAACTTCTAAACTGTGATGGTAACCTGTACAAATTATTCACCAATACTTCTACCTACTTCCCTAATGATGGCTTACTTCAGCTGCAGCAAAAAAATATGAAAGAGCAGAAGGAAAATCGATGTATGTGTACTTAATATCTACTTCTGTTTGTAGCTGGCAAACCTAAGAACATTTAAAAATGATATCAAAATTTTTAGGCCACTATCATAGCTTAGGAACTGATTATCTGCAGATATGTCACTCCCTCATATTTAGGACTTTGCATCATCACAATAATTGTTTTCATTTGATCATTTTTTAAATTTGTCCTCATACTTAAGTTGCAGTGCTTGATTGAACTGTTTTGATTTAAAAAAGAAATATTGCTCTATTTTTAACTCAATATTGTACAATTAAATATTTAGTAAATTTATCATACATATTGAAGAATATTATCTAATAATTTTGAGTTCATTTTCAGTTCAAGATCTGATGTTGACAATACTGAGATTTATATGTCAGCTCAAAGCAGCTGTGGAGGAGGAGGCCTGCCAGTCATCTTTGACTAAACTCAAACAGAACAGCAAAAAGAACAAACTAACTATAAAAAAATCTCTATCGGTTTCATTAGAACTAAAAGTAAGTAACAAAAAATCAGAGAATGATTTCTAACATAAAGGGGCAAACAGACTTGTTTGATTTTTTTTTAAAAATAATTTTTTATTGCACTGCTATTCAAAGTGCTGGTCCATTCTTAAAATGGGCTCTTGTCCCTGTTGCATTGTGGTGTAATCTTGCAAATCTGTCTCACTTCAAAGATGTGAAAAGTAGTGTTTCAAAATAATTTAAAATTTATTCAAAAAGCAAAATTGGTTTGTATGTTCTATTGAAATTCTTAGAAATTGTTATTTTTCTACCCCACTAAGGTGGCAGAAATTATGCAATCTGTGTTTGACTGCATAGAGACCTTATTGTCAGAGTCCCCCAAAGCACTGCCTTCCATCATTGGTGACTGCCTCTCAGCACTGGTGCTACAGGACATAGACACGAAGCAAACCAAGACAGAGTCCTTGATCATCGTCTGCAAGCTGGCCTCACTGTCGATAGAAGTTTTTGTAAGGGATATTGTCACACAGGCAGCTAAGTCTAGTCAAGCATCATTTGTAGGGCTCAGGTCTTACTCATTGGCTGTCGCAAATAAGCTGAGACTTGACGCTTTGCAGGCTTTGTTAAACACTGGTAAGTCATCACAATATTATTTGTTGGCTGGAAAGGGAATAATATTGGGTTGGACCATTTAAAAATGTGTGAGCTGTTGTGTTTCCTCTGAAGTAATTTAATGTCCCAGTCTTTGAGTGCTATCATGTACTCAGTGAACTGTCCTTCTGTTACTATTTTATTTATTCTTTTTATTTTGCACCCGATCCGGGGACCTGCCATAGCGGAGTTTTGTGTTACTATAGAACTTGATGAAAGCTTGAGAATCTGCCATTGGCTCTCGTCCCTGTTGCAATTTGGCTTAACTGCCAGTCTGTCTCACGTCAAGATGAACTATAAAAATCCTTAGATTTTTCAAATTAGTTCATTTCATTAGAAAGTTGTTCCAAAAGTTTACTAAGAAATGGAGAATTTTAACAAAATTATTACTGTGCATTTATTGATAATATTTATTTTTTAAATAAAAAATGTTTGTGTAAATTGCAGAGAGATTAAAAGAAGTTATAGGCCTGCAAAAATCTAGCCTCAATGTTCTGTGTGTGATAGCCCAGTCCGTTAGGAAAGCAAATCTTTTGTTTGCCTTACCAAACGTTGCCCTACAAGTGACCAAGACTTTAGACACTGCCTGTAAGTAATGCACCTTAACTTTATTTGCAACAACCAATATAGAATTTTACCTCAGGTATTTTTTTGAATGTTTGAGATAAATTAATTTTATAAATGCTCATGATGACTCTCTTTAAATCTTTTTTAGCTTATTTGTGTTGACACAAGATTGGACAACAGTTATTGCCACTCAACTTCAATGGAGACATGTTTCAAAAGTTATATTTCTTCTCATTTCACTTTCCTATTCAGTAAAAAATATCGGCAACTTAGGCAGACAGCTTAGACGTCTGGAAAAAAATTCAATGGCTATTGAGTTGCTCTCTCCAATCTGGCCTGTTCCAAACATTGAGGAGATTGTAAGTTATGGTAATTTTCCTTTAGTTAAACATTTTAGTTTACATTCAGATGTGTTAAATTTTGTTAGGGGGGGGGGGGGGGGGGGGGGGGGGAGGAGTGGAAGCAAATTGATGCATTTATATTTTATTTTGTAATGTCCTCTTCTTTTTGGCAAGTTTGCACAATCTCTACTGATCAGGTGAACATTTTATTTATGATTAAACTAAATAATGGTATAGTAATGTAATTTTCATCTGCAAATTCTTTCTATTACTGTATCTAATTTCAAATGTGTGTGTGTGTTTACACATATATCTTTATATAGCTTGTTTACCTTTAGTTTCCCCATGTCAGTCACCACGAGACGTTGGCTGAGAGCTACTTTCAAACATCCCAGCCTGAGAAGGCGTATCAAGTAATTGCTGAAGCTGCCAAGCTCCATGCATGCCTTGTGACCGACTCACTTCTGAAAACACTTGCCAGAATGGTCAAAAAAGGATTACCCGTGTAAGGGACAATTTTTTATGAACAGACTTTTGACGAGTTAGGGAAAAGGAGATCAGACAGTTTACCTTTTAGTATTGCCCTTCATTTAATCATACTTTAAACTTGGCTGATTTATTATCATCTTAATCTAAATTTATAATCCAAATAACTTAAAAATAATATGAGATCCCCTGAATGTACTTTGACACTCTGTTCTGAGTATCAAGACAAATGCAAATATTAAGGGAAAATATTTTTGATTTTTTTTCCCCCAGGCCAGTATTAAAACTATTTGAACCTTGCATCCCAGATGATGAGACAAAGCATGCATATTTACTGGGTAAAGCTTTGAGATCCATTTTAATTTACAGGCAAGTCTTATTATTATTATTATTATTATGAACAATTTTAAAACTCAAGTCATGTGAAAATAACTTTTCCTCATCAACACTTCAACATGGCTTAACTAGTTTCATTTAAAATTGTTTTAATAAGCTATTGAGAGTTTCCAAAGATTTTTTTTTTTAAAATTCCATTAAATAATTATTCAATTTTTTAATTCCTTGCTTGCACTGCTGTGATTGAAATACCCATAATTTCCTAAAATAAATCATCTCCCATCCTCCAGTCCATCTTCTCAAAAGTGCGCAAGCGTTATTGCATGCTGCCTTTCCAAGCATACAGCCTTGTCCGAGTGTGAGAAAGCCATGTATGCATCACTGTTGGCTGAGATCACATTTTTCTTGAATGAGCAAGATAAGACATCAGCCAGTTGTCGGTAAGGGATATCTACACTATTTTTTCTCTTCTGGAAATATATTATGTTCTTTAAAATTATTTGAATAAAAATATTTTTAAATTAAGAAAGTACTCCAAAATGATAAGATTTAGAAGTTATACAACTGAAAAAAAACAATTCAATTTCACATGGTGCTATTTAGGGACTCACTGCCGATGATAAAAGATGCTACAATGGTACTTTTGTCTGCACCCAGTTCCGAATATGATGATATTTTGGCGCAGTCTGCTTTTCTTTACTGGGAGATACTACATCGAGCAACTTGTCTTGAACGCGTGAGTTGTAAACAAAATTTTTTATTATTATTCTCATGAATAATTAATACATTTCATTGTGTTATTGAATACATAAACATTTCATGAGTGTTTCGTTTGTTTCCTATGTTCTAGCTGTAAAATTAAGCAGGGGTGCTATAACAATGAGCTGAACATAGTTTTTATCATTAGAATATCCATAGGGAAAGAGTTGAAAATGGTTTAGAACAGATTGAAGAACAGATGCTCTTGAATTATTTTATGACAGGCTAGTTCCCCCGATGACCCTCCAGACTTAACGTTAAGTCCCGACCCAAGCCAACCAAACACAGTCATGACACCATCTGAGCCTGTCTTCGTAGATCGTCAAATGCCATTGGATCATGCAACGACACCCAAAAGGGCCTTGACCTTTAGCTCGCCTGTGCAACAGAGGAAGAAACTTAAAGAGAAGAGCAAACCAAAGACACCTAGTGAAACTGAAATTAAGGTTTGGATTCTTTTTTTGTCTGTTAACCTGAAATTAAGGCTTGCACACTTTTTCTTATGTTTTGGCATGTAAGAAAGAAAAATTTATTTCTGATAAATTCGGCAGGCCGCAAAATTTACACGAAATCCAAAATTCAATTGACAAATCATAATGTGATTAACTCTATTAGCTTGCATAGTTTCAATGAGTAATATGGGGTGGTTTGAATTTAGATTTTTTTGTCTCTCCAGGTTGACAGCGAGATCCTAATAAATAAAGCCAAGGACTGTCTGAGTGTTTGGACAGAGTGGTTCAATGGTCACCAAGCTGATCTACTCACTTGGGAGGATGGTGCTTTCAGAGGAGAAAGAAGTCTCATTTTCTTGCAGCAAGTTATTGAGCTTGCTTTGGTGAACCACCAGGTAATTGAAGACGGATTTTTTAAAACAAATTTTGCATCAGGCTAATTGAAACTTGAAGTTTGAGGTTTTGCAAACCAAATATTGCAACATTTTGAACTGATTCAGAGACATACGATGTTTTTGAACTGATTCAGAGACATACAATGTTTTTGAACTGATTCAGGGACATACAATGTTTTTGAACTGATTCAGGGACATAAAATGCATCAAAATAAATTAGATTTTGTAATTTCAATCAGATATAAAGCAGGAAAGGGGGAGGGGGTTTCAAAGAAATTTATAATTGTTGAAGTGGTTATAACTACTTCTTCTTTCTAGTTAGTTAAGATTAAATACTCTTTACATATTTCAAAAACTAATTTTCTCATTATTATTTCTTTTTCGTCATTGCTGCCTAGCTGATGACAGCCTTGGAAGCAATATGTCAGGCTCGAAACCTGGCCAACATTATCAAAAAAATAGACATGGCCAAACGGCTGACGGGGAACCTGATCTCTTTAATTGCTCAACTGGGCATCAGATATGACAGTGTCAGCTGTTTGAATGACAGTGGCCAGGACTTGTTTGAGGAGGACAGTGATATCTTCATGTCTGGCCTGGGCCTGGACCAGGATGGACATGTGATGGATCTGGTGGCCATAGCTGACCATTACATAAGAGCCGGAGAGGTAAGTTATTAATTATTGTGAGGGCATGGGTAGCTGATTTTTTTTTATCCTTATATAGTATAGTGCCAAATAATGATCAATCAGTATCGTGATAATCTTGACCAACCCATTGAGATTAATTTTAAACTTATTAATAACACTGAACCTAAATTTCTTACACTTAACATGCCATCCTGCTTGCAGCAGTTGTTAAAATCTGTGATATTTTGTGAACGTGGTTTAGCAGTCACTTTACAGCCACTGAGGTTAATTCCAGCTTTAGATGTTGCACGCCAACTTGATTGTGAGCGCTTTTGTAGCTTGACATGCAATATCATGTCCTGTATCATATTCTTTTTCCCAATAATATTTATTCATACAGTAAAAATAGATTATTTTCAGTACACTGTATCATTTTTTCATAGTCAGAATTTTAAAATAAGATGCTTCCTTGCGAGATCAGTTGAAAATTATGATTGTTTATGGCCTCAGCCTAAGATAATAAACTATTAAATTGTATGTTATTACATATTTTTTTGTATTGTTAAGTTTTGTTTTTAAATGTTTTAAATAAGTGGTTCACACAAGTAGCTTCAGGGAGCAAAGGGAAATTAAATTCTTAAGTTGTTGCAATTTATTTAGAAAATAGTTATCTAAACAAGTACAAATAGAGTTATTCTTAAGTTCACATTGTCTGGCATGCTACCTGCTCAATAGAATTATAAAGTCAAGGTCAGGAAATACCTGGGAAAAAAAAGAGCTAAACAAAACTGGCTGATGGATGTCCTCTTTGTCTTACTCTATTATATAACCCTGATTGTCATAATGTGCATGTGGTTAAATACCAAATATACCAGATTTTTGGGGTCTTTTTTCTAGAGAAGCAAATTTAAGGCTGTCCGTGGTGTTGTGTTGGAAATGATAGAAAAGGCAAAAGACAAGGGCCCCCTGACACCAAGTTCATCTCTAGCACTGGCCACCATCAGCAGACTGTCTGCAGAATTTGATGCGTTGTCACAGAGAAAAGAGGAGTGTGTATCAGAGGGTAATTGTTTTTAAATACTTTCTTGTAAAAAAAAAATTTGAAAAAAAAAAAAACTAAAAAATTTGGGGGTGATGAGACAACACTTGGCCAGTCAAATCAACAATTTTTAAACATCTTTGACTTGAAAGAATCCATGTTATCCAAGCGCTTTAACAAAAGAATTCTACCATCTATTGTTGGCTCTAAAACCCATCCAACTACCCAGGATTAGTTGTGTCAATAAATCAGTCTTGATTTCTACAGATAGCAAGTCTTATCCTATAGTGTCTGTTGGTAACTCACTCAAGTACATCACAAGTGTGGCTGCGTACTACTTTGGAAATAATTACAGTAACATTGAGAGCAGAGGTTAGAATGGAAGTTTTTTTGTTGTTTTTTTTTAAACAAAATGCAATGTGTATGATGTCTAACTTAGTTACTTTCATGACAATATAGGGTCTTAATTGCTGATTTTTTTGTTAAGATGGAGACTGATTTGTTTGAAGTAGTGTACTCTTCTGTCAGTTGGGGCATGCAATTCAATGATTTTAACAGCTTCTAATTTTTAATTTTGAACTTTCAGTGCCTTGGTCTATTTCTAATTTTGTTTTTAAATTTATGTGATATATATTATTGACTGGGAAGCAAAAGTTGGAAAATAAACATTGACTGAAGTGTTTTAAGATCTTATGGTACACTTGGCTTTTGTACCACCTGGAGCATTGATTGATTTCTATTGTATAATTAATCTTTCTGACCTCCTTTAATGCAGCCCCATCGGTGAACTCCTGGCAGGTGATACATGAATACCTGTGCACACTGAAACTATCTGGTGAGCTCTTCATGCATATAGGAAACATCAAGTATGCCAGGACTCACTTTATGGAGGGTCTCAAGATGTCCAAGTCTTGCCTGCTCATGGCCTGGTGAGTTGTAGTGGTTTGATCCAGAGGGTAAAAACCCTAAAAAACAGCCGTGTGGACCAAAATTGTCAATTCACTAAAAAAAGGTATAAAATATAATCAAAATGTAGAGGAAATTTAAAAAAACAAATCTTTTAAATAATTTTAAAGGAAACAAATATATTCAATTTATCCAGTGGTGCCAGCGTAACAGTAATTACAAACTCCACGACACAAACACTAGAATTCAACACTTTAAGCTCCACAGTATGGTTAATATTTATTGACCTCGTGTTTTTTAATTATTGTTATGATCAAAGCTTAATATTTCATGCACTTGTAACATAGAAAGTACTGACAGAGTGCCCCGATATGTATCATTTATAATTTATTGATGAACCGGCACTTCACACTTGGCACATCTTTTCCTTTCAAGGACTCTGTTGTGAGGAAGATTCAACATTCACCAAAATATAAATTATAATTTAAAACATTAATAAATTTGTGTTCATTGTATTATGTTAAAGTTTCAAATCTTGGTTTGTAAATAAAAAAAAGTATTATGAAGATACTAATTATTTTGTATTAATGATAAATATCATTATCTAATAAATCATTCTATAGTAGCCGGTGCATTTGGCAAAGAAATGTATTTAACACCTAGAGTCTTTTTAAAAACAGGTGGGTTTTTTTTTTTCTTCCAAATCAAAAATGTATTCATGTTTTTCTATTTTTGTCAGGAGTGCCATTTTCCTGTGTAAACTTATCCATGTTGCACTGCATTACAATGCTACAACAAAGGTGGCACAGAGCTACTTAAAGGTAAACACACTGTCTCAATGAAATCAATTAAAAAAATGTACATATAAACTTTCAATAAATAAATACAATAATTTTTCTCTGATATTCAATTGAAATATAGACCAAATAGTTATGTTAGCTTTTCATTAATCCAAATAGGTTAGCTTTTCATAATTCTCAATAGTTAATTGAGAATTAATTTTTCAAAATAGTTTAGTTAGCTTTACTTCATCCAAATAGTTGATTTAGTATTTATTCATCTAAATAGTTAATTTAGTATTAATTCATCCAAATACTTAGGTTGACATTAATTCGTCCAAATAGTTTGGTTAACATTCATATTTAAAAATCAACTCTTAAAATAGCTATGAATTGTTCAGATGATATCACGGAACATTCTTTTCCCCAGAAAATTGTATACACTCTCTTACCTGTTTAGATCAGCTATTGACATTAAGCTTTTAAGAAAACCTGTTGCCTCTACTGAGTATGGGTATTGGTTAATAATGGTTAATTGGTCAACCTTATTATTACTTTTGCAGAAAGCCTTACAATTGGTGGACAAGCACTGCCTGACGACAGAGGGCATAAAATCAGATCAGTCGGCTGCCCAACGAAAGTTTGTGAAATCCTGCACAGGAGATCAGAAGTTCTCTTGTAGGATTCACAGCAATGGAAATAAAACACAAGCAACCTCTTTGTGTCATGACAGTGAACAATCTGGTAATTATACTCTATATCAATAAGATGTGTCAAGTTCTAAAACTTGTGTGGTAGTATTAGCAGGGACATATGTGTTCTGATTTGTGCTGTGTAAGATTAGAAGATTGAGACAACATATTGTACTTACTCCATCCATCCCTGTGGGACTACGGTTCATGTTGGGCTTTGGCCTGTCTCACTACTTCCTTCCACTCAGACCTAATTGATGCTTTTCATTTCCATACTTGGATTCCCAGCTGTTGTAGATATTTTTCCACATCATCCATCCATCTAAGCCTAGGTCTGCCTTTGAGCCGTTTTCCTCTGGGGTTTCAGTGATGTACCCTCTTCACTCCTCTGTCATTTGGCATTCTTTCTAATTGTCCTGCCCAGCGTAGCCTACATTTTTTTATTTCTGCTACTAGTCTGATATAGACTGTACAATTCCTGGTTGGTTCGTATTTTTCCATCCATAGTCATCCTTTGTTGGTCTATATATTTTCCTGAGAACCTTTCTCTCCCGAGTGTTTAATAGGTTTTCTGCTGTTTTTGTTAGGGTCCCAGTTTCACTTGTATATGTCACAACTGGTCTGATTACAGTTTTATAAATACTTTTTCTTGTAATTTTTTTGTTTTGAGTATTTTCTGACTACTGAAGTTTGCCCTGTTTCCAACAGATATTCTCTCTCTCTTTTATTTCTGTTAGTAATTTGTTTCTTTCATTTAATAAAGATCCTAGGTATTTGAATTGATTGACTTTTTTAAAAGTGTGGTTTCTAATTTTAATGGCTTCATCTGTCTGTTCTTCTCTTATCATAGTCATGTATTTTGTTTTTTGGTTGTTAACTTCCAGCCCTGCTGGTAGTGA